GGGGGGGGGGCGTATTGTGGAACCTGGCCTTGGGGCGGCAGGGGGAGTAAATCTGGCCCTGGCCCCACTCAAGCAGCGGCCATATTGAGTGGGGCACGTGAGATTAATAACATGCTGGATTAGTGTGATCCTAGTTCATTTTATTACTTCATTGCTGTGCTGTATGTGTATAGGCCAATGTAGTTGAATCTGTATGTGCGTTATAATTAATCGAAATGAATCGATCGATAAAAAAAAAATTTGATTAATCGAACACGAAAATTGTAATCATTACCAGCCCTAGTTTCAGGGCTTGCGGTTGTCTATACAAGGGAGGCTTTTACTGGTAAATAATATGCATAAAATAGGTTAAGTGCCATATATCAAAATAATGACCACATGTCCCCTTTGAGGGAGATCCCACCACCATACAAATGATGCAACCCTGTATGGTGGTGGAATCTCCCTTAAAGGAGAAATGTGGTCAATATTTTGATATAATATAGGAGACCCACCACTGGGATATATATACCATTAAGATTACTGAGATTGGAACCCTCCTTCCCCGTGTGTATATGTATAAATGCCAAAGATCCCTGTGGGAAGTTTTTTATTTTTTGCAAATGAATGGGCTGGCTACCATTTCATCTGAACTCTACAACAATAGAGATAGCTTTTTCTATCAGGACATGTGATCTAAAATACCCAGCATGCATGGGGCTCGTCGCACTGTTCACATCCTTGGTGGTCTGTATATCATCAGTAGGTGAGCTCCTGTGTATGGTCTGGCTGGTTGTAAATAATGGGCAAAATGATGCAAATCCCTCCCCTGTAGGACCCTCAGAATTAGCTTTCCGCCCCTACTGAGCGCAAACAGAGTGCTGGTGGGGACCAGTATGGACCAGTTTTGGCGCACGTTATTTGATGGTTACACCTATGAAACATCAAACAACACATTTATAGATCATTCACAGAGCCATTCACTCTCATAAATATGTATCTGTACTCCTCAGCTCTATCTATTGGCCATATTTCAGTATTACATTACATGAGACCTGAAAAGAAAATATACTGAGAGGGGTTATTCACTAAAGAGCCGAAAGATCCACCCGTAGCTTCGGCTGATCCCTTGGCTCTTTTCGCACAGAACGCTCTCAGATTTTCACAAGGTGAATAGCCCTGTTAAATGTTCATAAAAATTTACCCCTGGGCCTTTTGTGCTGGATTGTGTGGCCGAGGGTTAGGGCTAGTGCAGACACACGATGCACGGCTTTTTGTATTTTAATTGCATTTATCTGCATTAACAGGTAAATACACATTATTTTATTATGTTTCATTTAAAAAAAAAAACAAATTTTTACCATAGATTCCAATTTAATATAACTGCTGTATGCGTATAAGCTCTACAAAGGTGATTTATATTACTGACAAATAATGAAGCGATCCAAATTTTAGCAGACAATGAGAGCCATCCATGTTCTTGGCAAAAGGAAAATCAGCTCAGTTGAAAACAGTGCACATTACAACAAGGCCTGACAATCAAGCTTAATTACACTTATTGCATAGGCCAGTCACACACAAAATGGCTTACCTAGTACCAAGGCTACGCTTATTACGGCGCATTTGGTAAGTCCCCTTCAGGCTCAATTATGTCTAATGGCGAGCCATTGTGTGACTGAGCGCAGTGATCGTTTTTACTGAAATCCTCTTTTCTGTTCCTTCAGCCAGGAAAAATGTTTCCCAGGCTCAGAAGCTGGCCGACTTAGACAGCGAATTGGCAGCCATGTTGTACAGTCGAATGAAGGAGGCTAGCATGGCCTACCAGCAGCCAAACAGTGAGACCGATGCCGCTCACAGACGCAAGATGGAGAGAATGATGGCGGTCAGACAGCTCGAGTCCCAAGGGGACCTCGGCAACACAAAATCATTCTTATTGGTAAGAAAAATGCTTAGTCAGGGGCTGCCTGTAATTGTTAAAAAAAAAAATCAGCCAACGCATTTCGGGAGGTTCCAAGTGCCTCCCTTAATCAGGGCTTGACAATGTTGGATTGGACAAAGAGGTCTGGGCAAAAGGTTTGGGAATTCAGGAGTTAAAATTTTGACAACAACATATGGTTTGCTCCAGTTACTAGTTTAGCAGGTCTGCTCCCGTCACTAAGCCAGTGACCGGAACAGACTTCATACTGTTCTCGAAATAATAACTCCAGGATTCGTGAACTTTTTTCTTAGAAACAAATAAACACATTGGCTGTTTTTAAAACAATTGATGTGACATATAAACTTGATCACCGTCAATATCTTGGCACTTTCTTATGTAAACGTCAACTAATAAAACACCGACAGAGATTTGAACCCTTCCGGCAGGCTATCCAAAAACAAAATAGGGTTATTCACAAAGCTGCCGAAGGCAGCCAAGTGAATAACCGAGCCGTAGTGAAGTGAGCCGAACAACGTTCGGCTATTCACTATGGCTCAGTACGGCTGCCTTGGGCTGCACTTCGGTCAGCCAAACATGTTCTGCATGTTCGGCTGAGCCAAAGTGCAGAAGGACTTCGGCTCAGTCGAGCCAACATTTGGATCAGCTGAGCCGAAGCTCATTCACATAGGGGCCGCACGGCAGTAAGTAAATAACATTCTGCTCGGCTATTCTGCTCGGTACCTTGGTGGTACCGAGCAGAATAAAAAATCAATGAAAATAGTTTTTAAAAAAATACATTTTTTTAAAATGTAAAATTTCAAAAAATTAAGGTTTTTTTAAAGAGAAAGAAAAAAAAACAATTGGGCGAAGCTATCAGTGACAGCTGGCTCTGCCCAACTGTTTTGTATTGGCCGGCACCTGCTAGAGACACCCGGCCAAGGAATAACAACTGGGCGGAGCCGGCCGTGACATCACGTCCAGTTGTTATTTTTTAATGACAGTTCAGTGTCCCCAGGTCATTTGGGAACGCTGATCTGTCATTACAACTGGGCTGAGCCAGCTGTCATTTGCAGTGCGAAAGGCCGTTCGCCCCGCTCCGGGTGTCACTTTGGCTCAGTCGAGCCGTAGCATATGCCCCCGGCTCAGCTGAGCTGCTCGGCCACCTTCAGCTGCTGTAGGGCTATAGTGAATAGACCGTACAGCAGACCTTTGGTTCAGCTAAACCGAAGGGCTCTCGCGGCCGAAGGATCAGCCGAAGCTACGGCCGGATCCTTCGGCAGCTTTGTGAATAACCCTCAAAGTTCTGTCTCTAGTTGGGCTTTAAGCTTCTTATGAAAATATTGCAACTTTTGTCATCTAAAGAAATAAAATCACTTTTTCGTTTGACAAGCCACCCATCTGTCGGTAAAAATCTAACATTCCTTTACTGTGGAGAAAGCAATTTTCCATATGAGTAAATTACAAGGGTTTGTAAAAATGATCAGGTCATTTCTTATGTATTAATCATAGTACATTCCCAACTCGACAGATTTGTTAATGGATATTGAGAATTAAATGTAACTGCCAGCAGAGTCGTGATTAGGTGCAGTGTATAGCCTGAGAAATACATTAGGAAACTCTCAGCACTTATGAAGAGCCGGAGCAGGGAAATTGCTTTATTTCTGGGCAAATCGCAAATCTGTAACTGATCAGACTAATATAACAAAATGGAAAAGTGATCATTTTTTCCTGAGAGTTACAGACAGAAAGGACTCATTATTTATAACTCTGCTTGTTTTCAAAGCGTGTCTACAGATCAAACATTTTTTGGTTTTGGATAGAGGTTCTGTCAGCACATCATTTTGGCTTGTTAGGGACATTTCACCTGCACTTCCTGTGCTGGAGACACTACCGGAAGTGAGTTGAAATGCCAACTTTGACATGTTTTATTGGAAATTACCTGTTTGGGAAATTTCCACTCACTGTAGAACAAATTAAGACTATAGCGTTCCTCCTGCTGTGTCAGTTTAGCCTATATAGGCACTATATGTCCATTAAAGAATGCTATGAGCAGGTAAGTAATTAGCATTTTGCAAAGTAGGGTAGGGACTGGTCTGAGAAGCATCACTTTGACCAGAGGCATTATTATAGACATAGAAGGCCACATGGCTGCAATAGGGCCTGAGGGGAGGGGTCCCATGAACAAGTTTGGCACTCCCTCAGTGGCTGGCTCATCCTGCAAACAGGACAGGATGGAGCTAAGAGGAATATTGGGATTTTTTACTTTGGTGCAAATGACCTGCTGGTATGGAAGATACATTACTAAAGATTTTTAAAAACTGCTTAGCTTATTGGTACATACTGGGGCTTCTTGAATGCGTAGGCTATTCTTTTGAAAAAGGTGAACCAACCCTTTAATGAAAACAAAGAAAATATTCAGCAAACTGCCTGGAATCCGGGACATGTATACCTCCCGTCCTGGATGCAACTGGAAGTTTTTATTGACTTGTTGTCACAGTGTATATATGCAGACATGGAGAAATTTGTTGGTACCCTTACAGTATCACACATGTTCCTCCTGAGAAGTGATGACCAAAAAGCAATTCTCTCATGTATACCTGCAGGCCTCTGGTATGTCATAGTATAAAGGAAAGCAAGTGTGAAAAGAGATTAATGCTTAATCTACAAAGATCTGGCCTGGGCAGATTTGCTGGAATCTGTAGAAAAGATTATGAATATTTGGATCATAGTGATTTTTCTGTAATTAGTATCACACATGTCCACAGTCTTGTAATCAGTCAATCATCAGACTATTTAAATGGAGAAATGTTGTCATTTTGCTGTTTGGTATCATTGTTGTCACCACACTGATCACGGACCAGAGAAAGCAAAGGAGAGAGTTGTCTGAGGAGTTCAGAAAGAAAGTTATAGACCAGCATGTCAAAGGTAAAGGCTATAAGACCACCTCCAAGCAGCTTTATGTTCCTTTGACTACGGTTGCAAATATTATTAAGACATTTACAGTATATTGGAGTGTAGCCAACCTCCCTGGATCTAAGTGCAAGAGGAAATAAGCCCCAGACTGAGCAATGCCAAATGGTAGACAAAGAGCCAAGGAAAACATCCAAGGAGACACAAGTTGAACTTCAAGGTCAAGGTACCAGTGTCTGTTTACACCATCCGTTGCTTTTTGAGTGACAGTGGGCTCAAAGGAGGAAGACCCAGGAGAAAAGAAAAACATAAAAAAGCCAGACTGGAATTTGCCAAAATGCATATTGACAAGCCACAGTGCTTCTGGGAGAATGTCCTTTGAACAGATGAGACAGATCTGGAGCATTTTGGCAAGTCACATCTCTCTATGTTCACAGATAAAAAAAAAGTTTTCAAAGAAAAGAACACTGGATCTACTGTGAAACATGGAGGAGGCTTGATTATGTTTTGGGGCTGCTTTTCTGCATTGTGCATAGCATGCCTTCAATCGGGGGGGGTTGGAGAAATGACATCTTAAGACTATCAAGGAATTCTGAAGCAAAATCACTGAATATGTCGGAAAACTCTGTCTCAGTTGCAGGATAATGACCCACAACACGTAGCTAAAAGTACCCAAGAATGGCTAAGAACAAACATTGGACTATAGATCTATAGCCCCGCCACCCATTACCATGACATCACATTCCCTCCATTTGTTTTTACAGATGTCATATTCATACTAATGACCAAAAGGATGCTCAAAGTAGCAAAAATCACATTCCTAGAATTTTGCTTGGAAACCTTTGGAATACTGGTGACTTACTGCTTTCTACCACCACCACCACCACCGACCCCCCATTGGAAGTTGGGGCATTTTCGGTCAGGAGTGCGTTGGTATCCCCTACATGACTTTTACATGGAAGCAAAACAAATGGCAAACGCACTCATCAACTTCTTACATGGAAGGGTACCAACAGATTTGTCCACAAGTCTGTCTCTCTCTCTCTCTCTCTCTTTCTTTCTTTCTTTCTCTTAAAACTCTTTCATGAATCTGTGGCACGCTCTGACATTTGTTGCACTACCGAGACACAGCCATCTACAAAGTATCTACTACTCTTTATGAATTCCCCCCAAATATGTAAATCGCACTGTGACAGAACCACATCTTCATTGCAGCCTGTTGGCAGGGCCAAACACAAGCTACTGGAACTTCTAAGAGATGATACAGTAGAAGCCTGGCCAAACCTGATATATTGATTCTGGTTGGAGTTGTCCTTTAATGTTCTCTGTGCCGTTCAGATGTTTTATATAGGAGCTTCTATTGAGCTGTTTGTCTGTGTTTTCTCGCCTCCAGTCTCCACACGAGGAGCGCACTCAGCACACTAGAGATTTGCAGATCATTGAAGCATACAGAGAGCGCACCAAAGCAGAGTGTATCTCCAGTATGCTGAATGAGGCGATTACCTCAAATTACACTGTCTATGCTACTCTGGGCACGGCGGAATTCTTTGAGTTTCAGCTGAAAAACCCATACAACGTACAGTACACCGTCTCTATTGAGATTGATCACGCCGACCTCAGGTAAGACCTTTCCAGTCTGGGTTCTTGCCCAGCACTTGCTGGCGTTTCCTGCTTTTATGACTCGAGTGTGTCTTTGTTTAAAGAGGACCTGTCACTTACACTCAACTAGTACATGCCATCTGCTGTGTAATGGTTATTACATTTTAGTGAGGACATATTAAAGCTTTGGAATCTAGGCTTGTAGTTGTCACTCCTGTTGCTTCAATCTTGTAACTTCAAAGTGGACCTGGCATCAGGTATATATTTTATTGATAAGTGTATGCATGCTAGGTAATGTGTAAGTGTAACCCTTCCAGAAACATGGATAAACTTCACTGCTCCATCCAACATCAGTCTCAGTAACCCGGGTATATACAGGTGCTGACTTGGAGCCATCCATGCTCTGCAATAATACCACCTAAAGAAGGTACTCATTATCTCTCACAGAGATCACTCCCCTCTGACAATGCCTTCATCTGCCTTTTTTCTCCAGAAGGACAGCACCATCTTTGTCCAGGCATTATCCAGGGTCAGCATCTACTTCCTGGATTGGCTCAGAGATGATTCAACCATGTAAATCCTGGTGCCCGTGCAGTTGTTGTGTTCACAAATGTCAGCCTCTCGGCTTGTTATGAAGTTACAATGTTGCAGCCTAACCATTGGTAGAGAAGGAACAAAGTCACTGCTTTTTAATGATAAGAATATGATGCCTAAACAAAGATGGTGCTGTCCTTCTGCAGAGAAAAGCAGATGAAGGCATTGTCAATGGGAGTCATGTGATCTCCATGAGAGGTAATAAATACCTGGATGTGTTATACTTACACATTAGAAAGCATTCACAAGCATAAAGCTAAACTCCAGATGGATATAAAAGACAATAATAAAGTCATTGATGCATCTCTGTATTTATTAACAGAGAATTAAATATATTGTTTGTTTTTAAATGCAACTAGTGTAAACTATCTGAATTTGACTTGATAGCATCCTCTTGCAATCCCTTCTATTACAGCACTGGGAGAGGGAGTGGGAGTCAATGGGATGTGTTGGAGAGAGCATAGAGAGTAGACAGATGGCCCTATAAGCCTTCTGCTGTTCCTTCACTGTCCACTCAGCAGGCTGGGGGTGGAGAGAGGACACAACTGTATTTCCACAATGTATAACTGTAACAGAGGCAATGGTGTCACCTGCCTGGGTAATCTGTGCAAATCTCAGAACTGGATGGACAAAAATACAAATCCTTTGGCAGGTAAAACAGCACACTTAAATATATGACCTCTCCATGTATTAAGCTGTTTGCCTGAAGTTCAGCTATAACATGATTATACATAACTGATCCACTATAATTTCTAAAATAGAGCCTAACAGGTCATTTTTGTCCTTTTACTTACCCTGTTCGGGTTTGGTTGCCTTTCTCTGCCTCCTTCCTGTGTATTATGTCTGCTGCACAGTGACAGGTCCTCTTGAGACAACATTGGTTTATCACCTCTGGAAAACGTGTGTGATCAGTCTGTGTTTCTCTCAGGGTGATTGTGAATACGCAGGAGTGGAGACATTTTAAAGAACTGACAAACACAACAACACCCATAGAGGAGAATATGTTTCACATCGATCAGCAAAGTGTTTTACCGCAACTGTACTTGCGACCTAAAGAGACGGTTTATGTTCCATTCACATATCAGACCTTCTCCTTGGACCATACCACTATGCTGCAGGTGGGTGAACAAAAACTATACAAAATGCTAAAAAAAAGGAACTTGCCAGTGTTTTTTTGTTTTTTTTTGGAACCACTTAAAACTTTGCTAAAACAACTTTAAATACGGCTATGAGTATTTGTTAACATTTACCTGGCAAGTACATGTAAACTTTTTTAGTGCAGTTCCTAATGTCGAGCCGCCATGATTATTTCCAAATACATTCAATTACATTGTTGAAAGAGGAATCTCTGCCAAAAGCCATGGGGGAAGAGGGTTAGTGAAGAAACTCGAGAGAAATATGTCATCCTATCTTCTCCGTCCCAGACAACCGGCACGTCAGCCGCGGCCGCTACGTCTGTCAGGATGGTCAACAATAAAGAGCATTCATATTGCAGAAAAGTAGGGCCGTGCAACTTGACGAAGAAGCTGACAGACGTTTTTAGGGGCGGGTGCGCTGGCATCCATGGTTTGAGACGTTGTCTTGGAGCCATCAGCAGAATAATATTAGATTTATTATACATCTTGGCCACTTTCAAGGTTGTATTTGGAACCATGCTGCTTCTTTTTTTTATGGTCTTGGGTTAGCAGAAATGGGTAAAAAAGAAAGTCTGCAGTGTCACTCACCTCTCCGCCGGCTTCCGGGTCTTCCGGGAGTCCCGTCGGAGATCCGATGATGTCACAGACATCGACGTCACCGGACTCCTCCCCCTTCCCTTAGTTAGCCGATGGAGCCACTTGGGGAAGGGGGGGAGGAGTCCGGAGACGTCCATGTCTGTGACGTCACCGGATCTGCGACGGGACTCCCGGAAGATGGCGGAGAGGTGAGTATTTTCATTAGCGATCAAAAAAATCTTAATCGATCACAAAAATTAATGATTAATCGAGAAATTAATCGTTAATTTCCGCAGCCCTAATATATATACACTGAGTGGCCAGATTATTATGACCACCTGATGTTTGTAGGCAAATTAGCTATAATTTCGGGGCTGAAGTTGCTAGAGGGCCAGACCATTATAAATAGGAAAGCAGGTTGTTTACCACGACAGTAGAAGTGATTTTTATCTGAAGATACGGGGAAACAACGCGATTTAACAGCCTTTGAGCGTGGGATGATTGTTGGCGCTCGGAGCCATGGAGTGAGTATCAGCAAAACAGCAGAATTCGTTAAATGTTCAAGAGCAGCTGTTGTTAAAGTGTTTAAAGACTGGACTGTCAGCCGAAAATCTGGGTCTGAACGTGCGAATTGTGGCC